TGTTTAATATATTAATATTTTGGATAACTCTTTACAAGTTCTCATCAATAAACACCTTTTGCTAAGGTAACAAATAACAGGCATTTGTAAAAGCTCAGACAATTCCTATAAAATTTTATACCCCAAGTGTCTTCATTAGTTACCCTATGCTTCTAAGGTAATGAAGACAGCTATCTGAGAGCAGAAACTGCAATCTTCCTCGTTGTTTATTATATCATTATTATGAACATAAATAGTATTTTTCTGACATTCAAGAAGCAAAATAGACTTAATACACTGATTAAGTATACAGAAAATGTATTCTTCTAAAAATTATGTAGAAATTTTAATGTGTATTACATTGTAGTAAATAACAAATAAAATGTTTAATTAAGCCAAAGTGGAATTTTGTTAATCTCCCACTCTTGTGGCCAAGAGTAAGTGGGTCAAGAGAAGCTCAAGACACCTGTAGTTGCTATTCTGCTCATTTAGTTTATTCTCCTAAATCAACACATTTTATTCTCTGTGTGTTGATTGTAGTAAAAACAGTAGTAGAAATAGAGAAATAGATGTTTTAACAATTAGTGTCTATGGACATTTATTGTAGGGAATTCCAAGGGGAAAAATACAAAGACCTCTCCTCCAAAAAGAACCTCTACAATGTTGTTCCTCAAATATAGTACTTGAAAATATCATCATGAAGCTGCCCCACTAAATACTTAGGTAACAAACACTAATACAGCTAATTTTTTGCTTATGAAAATACCTGTATACAACTTGTTTTATGGTAGAGCATAAAAATTCAGTTGGTAAAATTGACTAGAAATATTAGCATTAAATGCAAAATAAAGGAAGATCTCAAAAAAGCAACTCATAAATACTGGTTATTAAACAATTTTACAAAATTGTATCTACACTGAATCCCTTTTGCAGAGGTGAATGTGTATTCTATACTGGGGGAGGGGGTGCCTTTCCAGCCCCACTACTGAGTCAACTTCAATACGCAATGTGTTGTTTTATTACTTTGTGCAACTTACGTTGTAGTTATGTAAGACTGATGATAAGAAAGGATGTTGCAGGAATGATATGAGTCAACAATTGGCAGGTTTCCTTGGATAACAGTGATCATGTCAAATGCAGACACACTGCATAGTTATTGGAAACCTGGCAACACAGCCACCTGCACTTGATGCCGTGCCACAGACCGTAAAGTTTGTATACACTGCTCTGAGTATGTAGATTGGGATTGTAAGGTTTTTCTGCGTGGATAGCTCTCTCCGAAAGTTCAGAGTAGACCATGATTCTACATCAATGAAGTGGAGAAACCTGGAGAACTAAAGTTAATTATGGTATTGAAGTTAAATAACGTGATAACAAGAATAGACCAGACTTTGTGCAAATCAAAAGTCTAATTATGAATGAATAAAGTGAGACTCTGAATGAATTAAATGGGTTGTTCAAAGTCGCATGGACAATAACAAATCAGAGTCTCTGATTCAAATGTTTTTACCTCCAGTTCAGTGTTCCTCTAGTAAGGTTGGGTGATAGGAGGGAGCCTATGTTTGAACATCTTGTGCAAAATGAAGAAGCTTGCTTAGCGCAATGGCTTCCCCCCACACACTAGTCCGTGAAGTTTGGGGTTTCATATGTTAACACAAGGCTCACCTAGAAGTGGACATTCCACAATGGAGGCCAGCTATAGCTTAGGGCCTCACTGGAGTTCTCAGTAGTATTTTATTAAAATAAATAAATGGCTAAGAAAAATTTGAAGGCAGATGTTAATAAAGACAAGTTTGTGAATTCTATAAAATGCAAAATCATTTTATATGTTTGTTGATAGAAATTTACTTGCTTGGACCAAGCAACTTAGAGCCATTTTGAATGTGACAGGTTTTTATTTTCATCTGTTCTTAGGGATGGATGTACGACACCAAATTTGGAAAGCATTGTTGCATGCATTTTTTTTCTATACTGAGTTATATGCTATGACTGATAAACTCTTACCAAATTCAAGGCATTGTTACACCAGTCTTCGTCTATTAAATCATTTAATACTTATACCAACTCAATAAAGTATAGATGCTGATTTTATCTTCATTTTTAGAAATAAAGAAATTTGGCAGGAAAGATTAACTTATTTGTTCATTATGACATAATTAATACGTGTTCTGTATGTTGATGCAGTATCTATTGTACCATGACATATGATATACCAGGCATTGCTCTCTGAAATCACCATGGTGTACAGAAAATTTTCTTCTCCATAAATTTTGTTTCTCCATCACAGCCCTTAATACCAGTGATGACCACTAAATTAGTAACTTGTACAAATAACATGTATTGATAGAAAAACAACTAGAGCACAGATATTATCAGTATGTGATTAAAATGTTATGTAATAACCAGTCATCTGGCTGAGATTCAACTTTGCAATCATATAGAAAAAAGACTGAAACACCAAACAATATTTAGAGGTGTGTTTAAAACTAGTAAAATTAATATAAATTTGATAAAGTAGCACTTAAAGCACAAGTATATTATCTATGCCAGACTCATCAAAGGACTGGCAGTAGGACACCTACAGGCCAAGGATAAAACAAATGAGTCTTGCCAATAAAGGAGACTGAGACAAAGAAGTTGGAGGAGGCCTCCCTTGTGAGCTAGACTTGGTCAATGCTGGCACATCCTTTCTAGAGGTTCTTCCTTGGCATGTCCTCTCATCTAACTCTACCACTCTGCGGTTAAAACTACCCACTCTGCATCACTTGGTCTTACAAAATCCAGTTCACTACCCACTCTGCATCACTCGGTCTTACAAAATCCAGTTCACTTCCTCAAACTGGAATGTTTCCACGTCTACATTTTCTAAACTTACTCAGATTTCCATCTAAGTTCTTGATGGAGCCATTCACGTTTAGGTATAAGTACTAAGCAGCCAGGTCAAATTAGCTGGTTCCTTCAATATTTTAAGCCATAATCATCCCATCATTTTGTAATTATTTCTTCAAGAGTCAGAGTCTTATCTCTCCTTCAAAATTGTTTACTTCACAGGTCTCAGACTGAGGATGACAGACAGTTTTTTGTATAGTTGCATACATTATTTAACAGTTTATGTACAATTCATAGGAAGTATTTCATAAAAACATAAAAAAGTTCATTGCAGATCCAGGATTTCAGCCTTGGCTGGAGTAGTCCTTTCTGATATGAGACAACTGCCTCTTTACTATCTACTCATTCTTCAGTGTCCTATTAAAATTGAAATACCCCCCTTTGTTACTAAAGTCCATTAAACGCAGAATGCATCATTCATCTTTCCATTAGCAGATTACAATTAGTAAATGCTGTTTTAAGAAATATTTAATTAAATGAACCATTAAGGAACATAAGATTTTCAAGAGGTCTGAAAAAACTGATTGAGACTCTATTTTTTGCAGTTTAGGAGATGATAATCACTGATTAGCCTTAAGGTTAACATGCTGTAATAGTTGCATTCTACATTAAAGTGGCAACCAAGTCAGCAACACAGAATATGCCAACTGTGAATTTGTAATCATTACTGCTTATATGCTTTACTTTATGACTGTTTATAACCTACATGGACTCTTATATTGATTTCAACTCCAGCCCATTGTGTGTGTGTGTGTGTGTGTGTGTGTGTGTCTGTGTCTGTGTGGTGTGTGTTTGTGTGTGTGTTGCAAAGTGGTAAGCTTAAGATCTTTCATGTCTTAGCACTATGCTCTTCCAGTGGGCTTTTTTCCTTGTGTCCTCCAGGGTTTATTTTTAGGGACACAAAGTGTATCAGTACCAGGTTCAATATATTCAAAGATTCTGTAAAGCAGAAGTGAGGTGGTCACCAGTGGAATAAATATTTCTCAAAAGAGTTGTCAAGTGGATCAACACAGTCAAGTTCTGCAGACTACGCTGTCACTCAGGAGAAGGGAGTGCTTAATTCTACAGCTCAGTCCAGCTACAGTAAGCAGCCTACTAGTCAGACCGCAAGGGCACAATTCCACAGCTATGTTAATTATTATATTCAATTCATATAAAGAACATGTGAAGAATGTTAGTTGTATAATTATTAGTATTATTTTGGTTTATTTTACATTCTTGCTGTTATGGTGTAAAGGTTTGCATAAACCCAGACTCAGGTGTTGAAATCTTAATTCTCAGTGTGATGAAGTAGGGCATCTGGAAGCAATTATGCCATAAGGATAGAGCTGTCATGAATAGAGTTTGTGCTCTTATGAGAGAGACCTCAGAAAGCTCTCTTGTGCTCCTTCCACAGTGTGAGGCTACACAAAGTCCACAGTGGGCAACCAAGAAAGGCTCTTACAATGCATCTACCATTGTCTCCTTCCTATTATTTTATTACTTTGTTACTTTAATGTGGTCATGAGAAAAGACAGCCACTTGCCACTCAAGCATGTCAATATCTTTGCCATGTAATTTTTAAAATTTTATATACTTTAGTCTACTATAATAAGGTATATTCAGTGATTAACTTATTTACACAGTCAATGGTGAAACTGTAGTGACTGACATAGCAAATCTGCAGTCAGAATAAAGTCATTCTGGACTGTAAGTAAGAGTCATGAGAAAAGTAAATTAGTTGACAGCAAAGCAGAGAGGGAAATTTCTGGTAGAAATAAGTGAATCAGTCTGGGTGTGCTGGCACACCCCTTTAATATTGGCATCTGTGAGTTGGAAGCTAGCCTGGTCTACAAAATGAGTTCCAGAGCAACCAGGAAAAAAAAAAAAACAAACTATCTCAAAAAAAAAAATAATAAAGAAAGGGAGGAAGGAAGGAAGGAAGGAAAGAAAGAAAGAAAGAAAGAAAGAAAGAAAGAAAGAAAGAAAGAAAGAAAGATAAAAGAAAAGAAAAGAGTGAGCCAAGTGACTGCTATGGCAACCAGCTGCCCTGCACTGTACTGCACTTCATTTTCTCTTGTTTTATTGGATTTTGCGAGCACTCTCTTGTGCTGTCTCTCACCTTCTCACTTCTTCTCACTCTCCTCTCTCAGTTATCTTACAGCAAAACGGAAAGAAAGTGTCCCAGAACAGCTACCCCATCATCAAGCCTGCGCTCCAGTCTAATGGGTCGTCTGTTAGAGCAAGTCATGAGGTGCGGTGAATGGACTCCCGTGATGAGGTGTGCGGTTGGTGGGCTTTAAGCTGACTCCCAAATGAGAGTCTTCTTAAAACCCTCTGCCCATCATGCTATTCATGGAGTGGAAATTATTTCCTCCCTTGAAACTAGATGTGTTCCAAAAGAGCTGAGATTTAGAGAACTCAAGTAAATACTGCCAGTTTTTCTTTCATGTATGAAACTATATTTATTTTATGATTTTAGACATTAAGAAAACATTTTTGCTTTCTAGAAAAACTAAGACTCACATTTACTCCTTCCCTTTCTCAGCCTAATTTTCCCACCTGAGAATATCCTACATTAGTGAAACATCATCACTATAACTCATTAGCCAATGCTGATCATCTATATCCACTTCCTTCACCCTCTGGGCTGTAAAGTTCTGTGAGTTTTCCAATGTGTGAAAAGGGCAAAATTTAATGAAGACCTATTTATCATCCTTTTCTTGAACAGCGTATACTATTTAAAATTGTATCCAAAAACTTATCAAATCTAATAAAGCCCACATGTTTTCTCCTTGATTATTTTCTGTGGCTTTTATGGTGTGCTAATGGCATTTGTTGTACAGTCTGTCTTTGCTAACTTTAAAGGAAAATGTATGATCTATTTAATTTTGTTCATTGTTTCAGGCAATATTCAGTTTTCAGAATATACTGTTTTCATTCCTTTACCCTTATAGCAAATTTTTAATTTATATAATGTCAATTTACTGAGTTCGTTTTGATTCAGTACTATGCTGGTTAAGGGAGGGGAGCAGAGAAAAATGTATAGCTCAATAAAATGAATTAAAAAAAGGAAATAAAAAAAACTTTGGTATTTTATAAACTTTAACTCCAATTACAGGGAATAGAGGTGAGACTCAGCAATTGAGTTCTTACTGCTTCTGCAGACAATCCAAGTTCGGTTTCCATCACCATGTCAGATGGTGCAAAACCAACTGTAACTCCAGATACAGAGGCTATGACACCTTCTTCTTACTACAAACACCAGCATATATGTAGCACACATTGTCTCACATACACATACACACTTATACACACATAAATAAAAATCAATCTTTCTTGATAATTCAATTTCAGGTGTTACAAACTAACCTGACTGATTTAGTTTAGATGAGATTTATCAGTCATGAGTCTTCTTACTCATATGAACATTATTTCCTCTTTGCAATTTACACTCCAATTATTAGTAGTATTTCTTTTTCCAAATAGTTTTGATTTTTTTCTTTCTAATTTTCTAAGTTGGAAACTTGGATTGGTGATTTTCTATTTTCCATCTTTCTTAATGCATGTAACCAATGATCTAAACAATCACACTGTGACCTGCCATTATTTCAATGAAAATATTCATTTCACTTGGTTCAAAAACTTTTAATTAATATTGAGAGGTCATAATAGACATACATTATCTGAGGATATGTTGTTTAATCTCCTTTTGTTTGCCATCTATCTTTCTCATTTGTTAATTTCCAGCTTTTTATGTTATGACTTCAGAGTATACTTTACATGATTTTCACAAAAAAACAACATATTTTATCTCTTCAAATATGGTCAGTCTTGTTGACTATCCCAACATATGAGCTTGTCAAAAAAATGTTTTATGCTCTTGTGTTCTGAAGTATGTTATAAATGCAATTAGACTAGGCTGATTTGTAATACCTTTTAGCTCAATGATACACTTCTGATTTTGATTTTTTCTTTGGCTAATCTATCAATTAGCAATAAGAAATGATTAAAGTATTTTAATAGTGAACTTATTAATTACTTCATCCAATTTATTATTCTTTTACGTTTGTCTTATTACCATTTACTAAAATATAATGGCTTATAAAAATCCCATTTATTCTGAGGAAAGTATATGGCTATTCTGTTGGGCTATACTTCAAAGTGTCATGTGGATGAAATCCGGGGTCTGACTAGTCTACAATTTTATCTGGAGACTCAGGGAAAGATCTGCTTATAAGTTAATCCCATTTGTTAGCTCATTCACCTCATTCTGACGGTAAGTCAAGGTTGAGGCTCAGGAAAGGATTCAGACTAATTCCATTGGTTAGCTTCCTCATATCATTTTAGCTGAAAGTCAAGGTTGAGGCTCGGGGAAGGATCTACTTTCATGATGTTATACTTGTAATCCTGTCCACTTGCTTGAATCTTCATACTGAGATCTTCATTCTCCAGTGATAACAATCAGGAAACTCTCTCTGGTCCTGTGAATGCCAGCATTCATTCTAATGTAGCCTTCTTTAATCCAGCAATGAATGGTTCATCAAGTCCTTTCCTTGTTCAAAAATCACTGGCCTTCTCTTCTTTCACCAGCTAGACAAAGTGTTCTACTGTTAAGTCCTCAGGTGATTATATCGCACCTATGTGAATAAAATCTCTATCACAAGACTCAAATGTATAGTTCAAATGATAGGGGACTTGCCTTGCATGCATGAAGCCGTAAATCCAATACTTAACACAACATCTGATTGAGTTAACAAGATCTCTGTATTAAGGTTAAATAATCATGGAGATTATAATGTACCAAATTTATAGGTTATGAGGTCAAATAGAACATATTGAGTTGGCAATTGAAAACTTCTTCATGCCAAATTATCCAACTACCTTTAAACTTCTTTTTTTTACTGTATGTAATCATTACCAAGTTGATGTCTATGATTGTATAGAATTTTTCCTATCTTGTTGTGTACTACTTTTAATTCTAATAAAAGATAGGAAGCTCTTTAGTACAGACATAATATACTTAGTAACTGTTGGGCACCAGCTTAGAAGCAATGAATACAGGGTGCATAGGCCTATCCAAAAAGAGTCTAATGGAACAACAGGATGGTAGAATGTAGGACCTTTGAAGGGTGTAAAAGAAGGATCCTGCTAATCTAATGAAATGGACTTAAAGTTTGGGTTCTAATGAAATGGGCCTAAACATGGGTGATTTAGACTGTGTAGCTATGGAAACAAACAAATAGTATCAATCATGCTTAGTAATGACAAAGGAATCCAAGCTGTAGTTAACAAACATTGTTTTCATTTTAATGAAGGGGAAAACTGGTTACCTAGTTTTCCAGAGGAGTTTTGGAGCATTTCAATTTATTATTCTCAACACCAGATTTTGATGCCTTTTAAAGACACATGCTCATTAAGGATCATTGTTCCTTCCAGAGCAATGGACATATTATTATTATTATATAATGGCAATTTTTATCCCTGACAATCATCATTGGCCTGTACTTGGCTGTATCCGAAATAGTCATTTCACCTTTATCATTCTCCATCTCTCTACTTTGAATGTATGGATTTGTTTACTTTAAAAGTAAATTTCCTATAGGCAACACATTATTCAATCTTTCAAAAATATACACAGAATTTTTAAAGATTTCTTATATTTTTATTCTCCCTGTCTCTCTGTGAGGGGGGATCTTTATGTGAGTGCAGGTACCCACAGGTACTAGAAGAGAGCATCAGCTTCCATGGGGCTGAAATTAAAGTTATTTGTGAGACACATGACATTGCTGTTGAAAACCAAGCTTGGGTTCTCTGCAAGAGCAGAATGTGCTTTTAACTATTGGCCATCTCTTCAACGTGAATTTATCTTTTAATTTTTATTTTTGTCTTTTTAAAATAATTAATTATAAAGCAAAAATATTTAGCTCTTAAAATACAACTTGCTTCCTTAAATTATACTGCATTCATTCACATTCTTTTAAAATTTTCTATTTGTGGGCATTGGTGTTTTGCCTGCACGAGGGTGTTGGGTACCATGGAACTGGAGTTACAAACAGCTGTAAGCTGCCATGTGAATTGAACCTAGCTTCTGTGAAAGAAAACCCAGTGCTTTTAACCACTGAGCCATCTCCCCAGTCTCTCATTCATGTTCTTATATTTGCATATAGGAAATGTTTTATAGTCCAGCCTAGTTGAATATAATTTAATTTCTATTTTGGTCAATTTAATTTTTTTTGTTATTTGCAAACATTTAAACAGTATGTTCATAATTGTACATTTTTCCAAATTTATATTTCTTATGTGTGTAGGTATATAATGGATCAAGGCCAGAGGACATCTTTGTACAATTGGCTTTCTTCAACCTTTATGTGAATCTCAGAAACTGAACTCAAGTCTTCAGGCTACTTTTTAAATTGTTGAATAATTTTACTCATTCCTCTAAGTGTCTTGCCATCCCTATTTAGACATATTGTAAAGTAACAATTTATGATAATTTGACCCTTCATTCATCACTTCTTCTAGCAAATCAATGAAGTGAAAGGTTGAATCCCACAACTTGAAAGAGTTGCTAAGTACAATACAGTATCATTCTTATGGTAGAAATTTAAGAAAAATAACTCAAGTGTCAGAAAGAGGAAAAATGCACACCCAGAGACTAAGAAATGAGGCAGGCCCATGCTGTGAAAGCAGTCCCAGGGAGATCAGGAGATGGCCTGTCTTGACCATTTATATGGGCAGTCAACAGCATGAATAGGATTATACAAATGGTAAGGAAATGTATTAAGTGTAAGGAATTTAATGATGAGTGAGATGAAGAAGAGGGGTCTGTTAAGGATGGTTCAGGTGGTCAGGATTCAATGATAAGTCAAATGCTAATGAATAAACCAAGTAAACAGAAGGAGAACAGGCTAAAAGTGATACATAACTAGTTCACTAGTATATATAGTGCAGGTAGCTAGATATTTCTATTGATATTTGAATTAAATGCTTTCTAAAGTTCATAGGAAAAGTATGGATCAGGAGCTATTTGAAAGCTATAAGTGCAAAGATAGAGATTCAATCTGTGAAGAACCCCAGAAAAGAAATAGAGGCAAAGATATAAGAAGTTACAAATCTGTTATTCATTAGAATCTAATTTATAACACTATGGCTACTTTTAATTGACAATAACTAGACTGGGTTATTTTCAGACACTGCACATTTCTAGCAAAGATGCTGTTTTGAAATATAGACAAAAATCTGTTCTGATGACTAAGAATTCAACGGTGCAGCCATACA